CATCAAAGGACACTATCCCCACAGAATGTGAGAAAATACTTACAAATCATAAATCTGATGGATTAATATCCAAAATATAAAGAAGAGAACTACAACTTAACAACAAAACACAAAACCTAGAATAAACATTTCTCCAAAGAAGACATACAAATGGACAATACACACATAAAAGGATGTTCAACATCACTAGCAATTAAGAAATGCGAATTAAAATTATAATGAGATGCCACTTCATTATTTTTAAAAGTAAAATTAAATAACAAGCGTTGGTGGAAATGTGGAAAAATTGGAACTTTTGTGCACTACTGGTGGTAATGTAAAATGGTACAGCTACTGTGGAAACCAGTGTAGCAGTTTCTCAAAATACTGAACATAGAATTCCATAAGATCCAGCAATTCCAGTACTAGGTGCACACTCAAAACTACTGAAAGCAAGGATTTGTACAAATATATGTACACTAATGTTCACAAGTAGCATCACAATAGCCTAAAGGCACAAACAACCAAATATCCATTGACAGATGGTTGGATAAACAGATGTAGCATATACTTACAATAGAGTATTATCCAGCCTTTAAAAGGATTGAAATTCTATGCATTCTACAATAGAAATGAACCTTAAAAACATTAACTGAAAGCCAGGCACAAGTAAATTACACTCCAGTATCCCTGCTGAACATAGATACAAAGACCCCAGCAAAATTTTCACCAGCTAAATTCAAAAATATATGAAAAGAATCATACAGCATGAGCAAATGCAGTTTACCTCAGATGCAAGGATAGTTCAACATCCACAAATTGATCAATGTGATACATACACCACGTTCAACAAAACGAAGGATAAAAATCGTATTTCAATAGATGCAGAAAAACCATCTGACAAAATTCAGTACCCATTCATGATTTAAAAAAAAAAAAACCCTTTAAAAAGTGGGTAAAAGGGCACCTGGGTGGCTCAGTGGGTTGAGCCGCTGCCTTCAGCTCAGGTCATGATCTCAAGGTCCTGGGATTGAGTCCCGCATCGGGCTCTCTGCTCAGCAGGGAGCCTGCTTCTCTTCCTCTCTCTCTGCCTGCCTCTCTGTCTACTTGTGATCTCTGTCTGTAAAAAAAAAAAAAAAAAAAAAAAAAGTGGGTAAAAGGGAACTAGAGGGTATTATGCTTAGCGAAATAAATCAGAGAAAGACAATTATATGATCTCCCTGATATGAGGAAGTTGAGAGGCAACGTGGGGTGCTTGGGGGTAAGAAAAGAATAAATGAAACAAGATGGGATCGGGAGGGAGACAAACCATAAGAGACTCTTAATCTTACAAAACAAACTGAGGGTTGCTGGGGGGAGGGGAGTAGGGAGAGGGTAGTTGGGTTATGGACATTGGGTAGGGTATGTGATATGATGAGTGCTGTGAAGTGTGTAAACCTGGCGATTCACAGACCTGTACCCCTTGGGCTAATAATACATTGTATGTTAATTTAAAAAAATTTTTTAAAGTTTATTGGAGGGGGAAAAAAATGGGTAAAAGGGGAATGTGAATCAGCATAATAAAGGCCATATATGACAAGTCCACAGCTAACATCTTCCTCAATGGTACAAGGCTGAAAGCCTTTCTTCTAAGATCAGAAACAAGAGAAGGACACCCACTCTCCCCATCTTTAAAACAGTATAAGAAGTCCTAGCTAGAGCAATTAAGAAATAAAAGGCATCCAAATTAAAAAAGGAAAAGTAAAAATGACATGCTACTGTGTATAAAAAACCCTAAGGACTCTATCAAAACCTGTTATAATAAGCAAATTCAGTAAGTTGCAGGATACAACATCAACATATAAAAACCGGCACCAAACTATCAAAGAGAAATGAAGAAAACAATCCCAGTTACAATTGCATCAAAATGGAAAATATACCTAGGAATACATTTAACCGAGGAGGTGATTACTGAAAACTAGAAAACATTTTTTCTATGGAACTACAAAACAAAACAAATAGCCAAAACAATCTTAAGACAAAAAAGCTGGAGGGCCCATGATCCCTCATTTCAAACTCTATTAAAAAGCTACTGGCAATGGGGGTGCTGGGTGGCTCAGTTGTTTAAGTGGCTGTCCAGCTCAGGTCATGATCCCAGAGTCCTGGGATCAAGCCCCACATCAGACTCCCTGCCCAGCTGGGAGTCTGCTTCTCCTTCTGACCCTCCCCCATCTTGTACTCTCTCTCTCTCAAATAAATGAAAAAAAGCTAATCAAAACAGTATATAGTGTTGGCATAAAAACAGACATTGATCAGTTGCACAAAACAGAAACCCAGAATTAAACTCCTGTATATAATCAACGAGTTTTCTACGAAGACGGAAGAATATGTGGTAAGGAAAGGACAGTCTCTTTAATAAATGAGGTTGGGAAAACTAGGCAGCCACATACAAAAAAAGGAAAATTAACCACAACCTTACCCCATACACAGAAATTAACTCATGGATTAAAGACTTGAACATCTGAAACCATAAAACTCTTATCACAAAACATAAGCAGGTGCACCTGGGTGGCTCAGTCGGTTAAGCATCTGACTCTAGATTTCAGCTAAGGTCATGACCTCAGTGTCATTAGATCAAACCCTGTGTTGGGCTTCACACTGAGCGTGGAGCCTACTTGAGATTCTCTCTCTCTCCCTCTGCCCCTCCCCCCCATTTGTGCTCTCTCTCTCTCAAAAAAAAAAAAATAGCTAACAAGGTCCTTTGATATAAGCATTACTGGTTTTCTTTTTTTAATCTGACAGGAAAAGCAAAAACTACAAGAGCAAAAATAAGCACTACAACATCATACTAAAAGCTTCTATAAAGCAAAGGAAAGCATCAACAAAATGAAAAGGCAAGCTACTGAATGGGAGAAAATATTTGCTAATCGTAAATCTAATAAGGGGCTACTATCCAAAATATATAATGAGGGGGACCTAGGTGGCTCAGTTGGTTAAGCAACTGCCTTCAGCTCAGGTCATGATTCCAGAGTCCCAGGATTAAGTCCTGCATTGGGCTCCCAGTTCAACAAGGAGTCTGCTTCTCCCTCAGACCCTCTCCCCTCTCATGCTGTCTCACTCATGCTCTCTCCCTCTCTCAAATAAATAAAACCTTTAAGATCTATATATATATGTGTGTGTGTGTGTGTGTGTGTGTGTGTCTTTTTATAAGGAATTCATGCGACTCAATAGCAAAAAAAAAAAAAAATTTTTTTTTAATGTGTGGAAGATCTGGATAGATCTTTTTCCCAAAAGATATATAGATGGCAGGGCGCCTGGGTGGCTCAGTGGGTTAAGCCACTGCCTTCGGCTCAGGTCATGATCCCAGGGTCCTGGGATCAAGTCCCGCATCAGGCTCTCTGCTCAGCAGGGAGCCTGCTTCCCTCTCTCTCTCTCTGCCTGCCTCTGTCTACTGTGATCTCTCTCTCTGTCAAATAAATAAATAAAAAATCTTAAAAAAAAAAAAAAAGATATATAGATGGCCAACAGGTACATGAAAATGCATCTTAGTACATAATCACTACTTGTCAAGAAAATGCAAATCAAAACCACAATGAGCTATTACTTCACACCTGCTGAAATGGTTATTATCAAAAAGACAACAACTGATGGCAAGAGTATGGAGAAAAGACAACCCCTGTACACTCTTGGTGGGAATATAGACTGACGCAGTCGCTATGGAAAACAGCAGGGTTATTCCTCAAAAAATGGACAACAGACCTGCCATATGAACCAGCAATTCCACTTCTGGGTAGAATTTATCCAAAGAAAATGAAAATGCTAGCTCAAAAAGACATACGTACCCCCAAATTCATTGCATTATTTATAACAAACATGCACACAATCTACATGACCATCAGTGGATGAATGGATAGAGTAAGTGTGGTATATAGAGATAATATGTATCATGGATGCTATTTCATGTGTGTGTGTATATATATATGTGTGTGTGTGCATATATAATGGAATATTATTCAACCATAAAGAATGAAATCTTGCCATTTGTGACAACATAAATGGATCTTGAGGGCGTTAGGCTAAATGAAAGAAGACACATACCATATGCTTTCTCCTACATGCAGAATCTCACACACACACACACACACACACACACACAGAGAGAGAGAGAGAGAATAGATAGTAGTTTCAAGAAGCAGGGAATTAGAGGGTGAGAGAAATGGTTGAAGGGGGTCAAAAATAAAAAAATTTTTGAAAGATTTCCGCTTATCATTTTGAAGGTGAACAGCTCCCCCATGGACCTTTGGAGTCCAAAGATCCCCAAAAGCTTTTTTTCGAAAGTGACCTGTCAGGACTGTCTGTCTGCTTACTCCACTCAAGTAGCAGACGCTGGCTAAGGGCCCGCTGCTGTTGCGCTTATGAGGACACTGTTTCCTGTGACGGTCGGGCTCTGGTGACTCTGGGAGAAGCTTGGCCACCGCGAGCTGCACACAGCAGGAGGCCCTGAGCAGGGACTGACTACACATACCTAAGTCTACTTCCGTTCAGCTGCACTGGGTCTAACCTGGAAACAATGAAGCCGAAGAAAGCAAAGAAATGATGGGACTGGCTAACCTGAACGAATTTAGCAAGAAAATAACCAACCACATTGCCCCATGGACTGAAGGGGCACCTGGAGGGCTTTCTGCCTGAAAGCTGACCACACCATGTTCTTAGTGCTTTCTGCCAAGACCCCTTTGATGTGGTTCGTCTGAGAAGGGAGCGCACGTGCTCTGACTGGCTCTACACGACCATTAGCCATTTGCTAACAGAATGCTTACTGACCACAGGAAAGCTAACCATTAATGCCATGGCACAAAGAAAAGAAAACGTGCCAGTGAACGTCCTTTAGGTGACACAAAGAAGGGCAAGACGAATGATCAGAAGGCCCCAGACAAAACGCTCTGAGGGATTCTGTGTCCCCCGCAGCCTGAGCATTGCACCCTGCACCCCTCTCTCCACCCTTACCTTGGCTAACATACATGTCACCTTCTTCTGCTTCCCAGTGCAACGGGCCTTGCATCGGGCCTCACCTAGCCGTGCAACACAGACAAGTGTTCTGCCAGACACGGGATGGCATCACCTTACCGTCGGAGCAGTGCAGCGCCCTTCCGAGGTAGGAGAAAGCCGCGGACCTCCGTTCCCCAGGCCCTGTGTCAACAGCATGGAAAGACAGTGTTGAGAGGACGTTTCTCCTCCAGCATCCCATGGTCCGCATGGTCAGACGCCCTGCCTTTTCACCTCGCTCTCCCTGGGGCCCCTGTTCTCCCAAGAGATAGATGGCCCCGGGACGGCCTTGCACTTACTTAATGGGCCAGGCTGGCCTTCTCCTTTTGGAGATAAAGAGCACAGAGGGTTCTCTTCCCCTGGGGTTGGCCTGACGCCGCAGGAGGTCTGCACTAGCCCCGGGGTGGGCAGGAAGTGAGGCCCACGTGGGGGTCACCAGACCTCAAGGGCTCCAGTAGCCCCTCACGTTTGTTGGCCCCCCAGTAGAAGTTGGGCTAAAATGAGGATGCTGGTCCCTGGGTCTAAAATCATTCCCATCCAGTCCCTGCTCCCAGTCCTACTGGCCTATGGATGTTCCCTTGGGGTGAGGGCTTACGATCCCCACCCAGCCCCTTCCTCTGTCAGCCCGCATCCTGAAGAGACTTCATTCCTGGGCTATGCAGTGATACAGACTTCACAGAGCTGAGTACCCTGACGCCCAGTGAGAGCCAACGGCCTTCTGAGATCCTACAGCCACTCACCAACAGAGATCAGAACCCACCTCTGCTAGCACCAGAGGCCTGAAGGGCTGCCCGGCCTTCCCCGATCCCACCCCTGCCACGGCAGACCCTAACCCTGCCCCCCACCTCCCACAGGCCCGTGAGCACCCAGAACTGCTGGTCAGAAGCCTGCAGCGTACACTGGAGGGTCAGCCTGTGGAGCCTGTGCACGGCGACATGTGGCAACTACGGCTTCCAGGCCCGGCGCGTGGAGTGCGTGCATGCCCGCACCAACAAGGCCGTGCCCGAGCACCTGTGCTCCTGGGGGCCCCGGCCGGCCAACTGGCAGCGTTGCAACATCACCCCATGCGAAAACAGTACGTGCCAACCCCAAAGAGCCTGCGACCCATTCCCCTCAGGGCATGGGGGGCAAAGAGCAGGCCTGGGACCAAACCTGAGCCTAGGGCCCACAATCAGGTTTCCCAGGGACAGTGAGCTGGGCCCAGAGTTGGGTCTTTTCAGAAGGGTGCCTGAGAGCGAGCCAAGATGTGTGCAAGGATGTGTGCACTCATGTCTGGGCCATAAAAGCTGGCTGAGTCTGCCCCCGAGGCACCGAGCCAAGCCAGGGGATCGTGGCCCTGCGCAAAGCCAGGTGCTCCTGGTCCAGCGCTAGATGAAATCGGCCTCCGGCCTACCTGCAGTAGCTTGGCGGGTACGCAGAGAGGACAAGCAGACAGGGCGTCCCCAAGGGGCCAGGCCACTAGACAGAAAGTACCGTCCGCGCGAGGAGAGCACGCCAAGCGCCACCTGCCCATCAGGCCTGCACCCCTCAAAACTCTGCTTCTGGCAGAACAAGGAGCAGCCATGCTCCCTCCCCACCCCCATCCCAAGGGTGCCCACTGCAAGGGGGCCCCACCCCCTCGAGATCAGATACTCATTCACTCCCCCATTCCTCAAGTTTGGATTCTCCTCTGCCCAACATTGGCATTTGTATCCCAGTCGGGTATTCTTTCTTCCTCTGGACCCGACACAAACTGGAGGTGGGACAAAGGGAAGGGATGAAGACAAAGTAGGAGGCAAAGAAGAAATTTTAGAACGTGGCCATGCAGGTGTCTCCCAAACAGGGCCTCTCCGAGCATCAGGTTGCCAAGGCTGAGGCAGATGCCCCATGGGCACACTGTCTCCTTGCTTATACACCAAGGAGAGGTGATCTTTGTTTTCTGGGTGGCGCTGACCCATCTGTGGGTCAAGAGCTCACCACCATCCATGCTAACATTCAGTCTAAGTAGTTCAGACTGTGTTAGTCACAGAGGTCCACCACCCAAATCAGCACCAATATTTAAGGTCCATCTCATTTAGAGCTAGCATGCCACAGTGCTCAGGTCAGGCACAGTCAGGGGAAGGAGGAGAGAGGCTTAGATGGACAGGGTAAGGAAATAGAGGGGGCCCCCCCATCACCCAGCCCCCCACGGCACCCCGGGGGCAGCCTAGGAGGCCCGTGACAGACTTCCACCAACGCAGGATGAGCCTCCAGGTGCCAGACAGCAGTGGCCCCTCCTGCCCAGGAGCCCACTGCCCAAGGCAGACCCCAGTGAGATCCCCGGGCCCCAGGCCTTGGGCTCTGTTTCACATCTTGCTTCTGTCCCCTTCCCAGTGGAATGCAGGGACACCACCAGGTACTGCGAGAAGGTGAAGCAGCTGAAACTCTGCCAGCTCAGCCAGTTCAAATCTCGCTGCTGTGGGACCTGTGGCAAAGCGTGAAGATGGGGCCCAGGGAGGAACCCCACCCTGGCCACACAGAAGACACGCCACCCCCTTGGACAGAACTTAAGCTTTCTTTGTTTATTTATTTATTGCCCTCTCCCCATCCCCACCACACACACCCTCGTCTGACCTCCTCTCCCACCCCACACGGGAGGACCTCAGCATGTCCTCTCAGTTAGCTGGAGGACAGGATGTTGGGGCAAGACCAGGTAAAGGGTCTAAAGGAGGTCGCAGAGCAGACACCTTCCCCACCATGGGTCCCAGACAGACCATGGAAGAGGCCAGCACAGCTCCTGAGGACAGCAGGGAGGGCCAAGAGCAGACGAGAGACAGGAGGGGAGGGTGATAGCATTTGTAAAGCCTTGATACAGACTTCAGATCACCAACTGTGTCTTCCCTGGCAGCTTGCTGTCACCCCAGGAGTGTGCTGCTGCTCTGTGTCCTCCTCTGCCTTGGGAAGAGCAAGCAGGGAGGGGAGGACACTGTCAAGAAGAACCCAGGCCAGGACTCAGCGCTTCTGGTGGGGAGCCCTGAGAACTCAAAGCACCAATACACAGCAGTCAGGAGGAGACCATCCAGGGGGGCCTACAGCACACGTGAGGCCAAACACAAAGTGGGGGGAAGGGTACAGAAGCCAAAAGAAGCCTGTGCACGGTCCTCAGTGGGGCAGTGCAGGTAGGTGAAGGGAAGGGACACTCTGAACTCTGCTGTCCTCCTAGAGGGCACAGGCCCTGGGGGCCCACTCCATGCAGTAAAACACATACCCTCCCTCTTGCTTTGGAGGGGAGTCCGCACTTCCTGTGCTATCTCAGCAAACATGCTGCCTCTACACTCGGAGAGAAGCTAGTGGGACCTCAGGCTCTGGTTTTGCAGGCAGGACAGCCCTGGCATCTCTGCCTAAATCACAAGTTCTGCACCACCACCACCCCAACCCAGGGTCAACTGCGGACATGCGCCCAGGGCACTTTGAGCGTGAATAGTCTGGGTTTTCTGCCTAGATGGCCGATGCTGCTCCACTTAAGGAACTGGGGTCAGTGTGTCAGAGAGGACCCACCAGGTCACGGGAGCCACTTCCAGAGCTGGCCAGGACATGGGGTGGGACAGCTGGCTTTGTGTGGGCTGTTCCAGGAGCACGATGAGCTCCCCTCTGGTTTATACAGCAGCTTGAGGCGGGGTGGGGCGGGGGGGGCAGGGTGTGGTGGCAAAGCCATAGGGTAACTAAAGCTTGTAGGAGGGTCCTCAAAGGCTTTTCAACCTGTTCCCCCGATACAATGAAATGCTACGAACCTTATGAAAATGAATACCATTTTAGGAATTCATGAGCAAGGCAGCAAACACCCTTCCAGAAATGCCCATCAGCTACATTAAAACGGCTGTGGACGGTCTTGTGGCAAACCTGAAATTCTGGGACTATTTGGCAAATTGCTCTCAGCAGAGGGGCTTTGGCTACCTCCCCCTGTTGGCCACCATCACTCAACCCTCAGATCAGCCATCCCACTCCCCACATACAGACCCACAAAATGCCACTCAGACGGGCCGGGGGGAGGGGGAGGTGGTGTAAGACAATATTAAGCTGTGTTCTCCACAGGGGAGCTATGGACAATTAATGTGGTTCTCTTTCTTCCTCACCAAGATGAGCTCTAAGAAATCATGTTACTAAAAATCAGTGTCCTGTTTATTTAAAATAAAAGAGAATGTTTTCTATGTATATCTTTTGTGAATATTTATTAGGATTTCTTGTATAAAAAAGTGCAATATTAATAATTGTACATTGTCATCCAGAAAACAAAGTATTTGGCAGACTTTTTATTAACTTCCTGCAGTTGTGTTCCTGTAATTACTCAGTGGTAATTATTGTATTGTTCCTATTTTTAATAGAACCTGATGTTTAACTCCAGGTCCATTCACTGTGTACAGAATTCATTGTAAAGCTAACATGGGATGACAGGGCAGAAAGAGGGGATTCACTTGTGATGCAATAGTTACGCACGGAACGAAGAAGACCAATTCCGTACTATTAACTGACATGGTTGGTGATTTCTCGTTCAAAAGCTATGGAAAACCAGTGGCCGATATTTACGTTTCCTAAATGGCAGGTGTCCTCCAGCTCTGCCTCGTGTCAGGCTGCAGCAGCTGGAGTGGGTTTCAGAGCGAGCCTGGAGGACCCAGGTTTGGGGTGGGAAGTAGCGAGCTCCTTGCATGAAATGAATGTACATTTACTGTTTGTTCTGTGAATCGTGACTCAGCAGCAGCACAAGGTGATTAGAGCGGCTGAATAATGTGGAAGGAGGCACTTCCTCCTCTAAAACACAAAACTGTATTTATATTTTTTTGTACAGATAATACAGCTTATTTATTTAAAACTGGTCGTCTGAGTCTCTGTTAAGCCCAGCCTTCCCTGTCTTATTCTGCGCAGGGGGTGAGGGTGGTTCCCAGCCACTTACAAGGACTCGGCTGACATGGAAGACTTAACGGTTTTCGTCTCTGCCTGGGAAGCTGGGGGCCCGTGCCCGAAGGGCCAGATCTGTAAGTCAACCCAAAGGAGTTACGTCTGTGGACGTGCACATATTCAGGCTTAGTACTGTCCTTGACAATCATCTCATTTACAGCCCTGCACAGTGGGAAGATGGGAGCCCCAGGACCTTCCAAAAGAAGACTGGGCATCTCTGGAGGCAGGTGCAGACTTGGGTGCAGGGATGTGCACAGTCTGATGTAACCGTGTGCTGAAATTCTGGATGGACACCCTTAGTAGGAACTGACATTTAAAGATCATCACTACGTGTCATCCTCCCATGAGCCCTAGGACCATCACCATTTGTATATAGGTAGACAGAGGCCCAGAGAAGGCTGGGGTCAACCAGCGGGTGGAACAAGGATCAACCTCCTAGAAGCCTGGCTTTTTAGCCAGAGCCATTTTCCCACCCACTCTGCCAGCTCCGGCTCCCGTGCATAGGAGCAGACCATGCCTGGCCACCTTCGTGGGCACCGTTCTTTCCTACTGCTTAAGGACAGTGGGACATGTTACTGGAGTTGTCACTTTCTCATCCCCTAAAATCTATTCTGATGGCATTCTAAGGCCCCAAGCTCCCAATTTGTAAAACATTTTAGTAGAAATAAAGCTACAGTAGGAAGCACAAGAGAAAAAGTGCACATGGAGTTGGGTTTTTTTTTGGTTTTTTTTTTTTTTTCAACTGGCTCCTGCAAACGGGCAGCCAGTCCCCAGGCCCAGAGGATGGCTACACAAGGACCTTGGTGGGAGGCACCTGAGAGTACCCCCCCAGCCTCAAAGCCCAACTCCAGCCTGTCTTCCAGCAACTCACGCAGCATATCACAGTCTGTTAATCCATGTAAAAATAAACCAGAAAGCTCTTCCTGAAATTCCAGTTATTTTCTAAGGACTTTTAGGTTTCACTTTAAAGAAAAAGCCAATGCTAGAACTATAAATACTCACATGCCAGAAACCAAATAATATCCTACAGAGACCCCAGTGGGGGTGGAGGGGGTGGGCGTTGGGCAGGGGGAGGTTGCAGAATGAGTCAGAGATGCCAGAGCAAAAACCCAGGAAGTTTTAAATGGTGGGATGGGCGCAAACAGAACGTATGGAAAAATTTCCAGCCAAAATCACAGATCTCAGCAGGGAAAAAGGAGAGATTCCTAGAAGGATGCCACCAACCACAGCGTAAAAGTTTGGAATCTAAACCACAGGCCGGTCCTAGGATTGGAATTCCTTCTACCAAAGACCCCTTGCCTGGCATCTGAAGTTTCCGGGCCTTTGACAAGATGAGCCCAGAAAATCTGGGGCCCCGCCAGACCAGAGTGATCACTAACCTCCAAAGCTCATCCAGGCCTCAGTTTCCTCACCTTTAGAAAGAGGATGTCTTGGGGCGCCTGGGTGGCTCAGTGGGTTCAGCCTCTGCCTTCAGCTCAGGTTATGATCTCAGGATCCTGGGATCGAGCCCCACATCGGCCTCCGTGCTCAGCAGGGGGCCTGCTTCTCCCTTCTCTCTGCCTGCCTGTCTACTTGTGATCTCTCTATGTCAAATAAATAAATAAATAAAAATAAAAATAATTTTTAAAAAAAGAGGATGTCTCACAAGAGAAGGTTTTTGTGAGAAAACTAGGTCATTTGCACTGAAGAAATCTGTGGTCGCCCATTGTGTCACTGAAGCATCCACTGGGTGTCAACCATTCTTATCACCCAAGCGACCCTGAAGAAGGGCGGTGAGGGACAGAGCTTGGCAGCATCCGTGCTCTTTCATATCCCCATCATCCGCTTTGCCAGACTGTCGCCGTGTTTCCGTTTTTGACTGAGAAGGACACCAGTCATTGCTGCCAAGTTCAGGACTACACAACCGCGTAAATACACACAACAGCGTAAATAGGAGTGGCCTTAGGGAACCAAGACTCACCAGGATATTCACACACTTTCAGAAATACTTCCCAGGACAGGCACTGTCTGGTAATCCCAATGTACAAATCTAATTTTAATTCAGAATACCCACATGTACACAGAGCTACCATTTCTTACGATTTACTTAAAAATCACAGAGAACTGTTCATTCAAAAGCAAACATATGTGTAATATAAAAGCTCAAATGAAGGATATCTCACTTACCAAGGGGTATACGTTCTCTCAAACAGCACGCTATTATCCCCTCACCACCTCCTGCCAATAAATCCAAAGAAAATAACCCAATTTTCTTAATGGTTCTCAGCTAAAGTGAGACAAGTTAGAGCTCGATAATCTACCGGTGGGCCTCCCCAAAAGAGGCAAATTCATCCACAAAGGGTAAGGGAATTGTGGGTTGAAGAGAAGGATAGAGCTCTTGGAAATAACCCAACCCACCTGTTGAGTGAATTACCCAAGGAAGGGTAAATTAGGAAACAAAATAAGGTGACATCCCCTAGGTTCGGTCCCTCTCTGTACCTCATTTTGGTCAGTGAATGAGCCACGATTTAAAGACTTCAGGATTCAGACTCAGTGTACACGGAGTAGG